GGGGCAGTGCAGGACCAGTATAAAAGCCATGCCAGCTCTTCACTCTGTCATCCGCTTCACTCCCCTTCCTCTCCTTTGGAAGCAAGTGAGTTGGACGCTCTGTCCTATACTGGGGCTTGGGGCTGTCTGTCCTGGGAGGGGAAGCAGGGAGAAGGTCTGGCGTGGAGAGGGACTGGATCTGGGTGGAAGAGATTCTTGGGCTCTTCACTAGGAAAGAACTTTACTGGGCCTGGCTCTGTTTGCACAGTGCCTGGGGGGATAGGGCAAAGAGATGCGTGGGGTTCCCTGCACAGCCTCCAGCTTCCTGCCCAGCACGTGCCTTGGCTCCCTTGGGGTGGGTGGCCAGGCTGCTCCTCACTTGTCCCCATCGTCCTCCCTGCCCTCTCTCCCAGGTGCACCTCCAGCCACAAGACATGTCCTGCTGCAGCCCATGTCTGCCATGCCAGCCCTGCGGCCCGACCCCACTGGCCAACAGCTGCAATGAGCCCTGTTGCAGGCAGTGCCAGAGCTCCACCGTTGTCATCGAGCCCTCTCCTGTGGTGGTGACCCTGCCCGGACCCATCCTCAGCACCTTCTCACAGAACACCGTTGTGGGCTCCTCCACCTCCGCTGCTGCTGGCAGGATCCTCAGCTGTGATGGAGTGCCCATCAGCTCTGGAGGCTTTGACCTCTCCTGCATCACCAGCCGCTACTGTGGCACAAGGTGCTTCCCCTGCTAAAGCAGCTGCCCGTGGCCCCACAGAAGATCCCGAGGAAGCCGGAAGACGGTGATGGACTGAGCATGGCGATCCTGGCCATGTCTTTCAGAGGGGCTGAGCATCCATGACTCCACCTGCAAAGCAAGGCAGGAAGAGGAGCGCCTGGTCTCTCCAGAAGCATGGCCCTTGTCTAACTTGCCTGTTTTTCACTCTCTTTTCTCTCTCTTTTCTCTCCCTCTTTTTTCTGTTGTCTTCTGCTCCCCTGGGCTGTGAACACCTGCTAAGCTCCATCTGCGGAAGGACCTCCTGCCCCTCTCCCTCTCAGGGGCAGGCAGGCAGACACGTGGTGTGAAATCCACCCTGTCAGAGGGGTAGAGGCTCCAGCTACCCCTGGTGCTCCCTGCACCGTGGCCTCCACTCAGAGGACATCCTTTCCCTCTTTCAACTCATTAAAGTTCTGTTGCATCCCAGACTGGGCCTCTGCGTGGTCCTTCTTTCTCTGGATGCTCTCTGCAGCTGCCAGAGAGAAAGGTGTTGCTCTGGGGAGATCTGGCAGGCACAAAGGAGAGCCATTAGCATTCCCAGAGGAAGGGGAGGGTGAGACACAGGCAGTGGGCTCATTTAAAGACACTGTCCTCTGCAGCTGAGAAAGATGTCCCTGGTTCCTGCAGAACCAGCTGGTGTCAGGGCCTGCCTTGCTGCATCCTTGCACACAAATGGCCTCCTCAGCCTTTGAGCACGTCCTGCAGATGATGGGGAACACAACCACTGCCCGAGTGCGGATTCTGTCTCTCTGGCTGCGCTGGCTGGTGTTGGTGGCATCAGGAGCTGGATCTGCATCCAGCAGCACCCATGAGCCCTCTCTGGCAGGCAGCTCTTGACTCAGGAGGGCTTCTCTTCCTGTGTCAGTGTGGTGGTGGTGGTGGTTGTTTGACGGGTTGCTCCTCACGTACTCTTGTGCTCCTCCCTGCCATCTCTCTCTGGTCCACCTTTGGCTACAAGATATCTCCAGCTACAACCTCTCTCTCTCAGAGAGTGGTGTCCCATTCTTTACCCACCTCCCCTTGTGGTTTCCAAATAGAAGCTGATGTTTCTGCAGCATTTCAGGTCTCCTTGCATTGGGTTATCCTTCTTTGTAGGTCTTGCAGGGATCCTGTGTATCCCTAGTCCCTCTGACAGCATTTCCTCCAGCACAGATGGAAGAGGCAGTTTCTAAGTGCAGATGTGGTCTGTTTCCTGACAGCTCATGCTCTCTCTCTCTAGGCATGCATGTAGAAACAGAATGTCGGAGGATTTGCATTTTCTGCAAGAGGGATGTGTAAAGTCTTGTTCCCCGTTTCATACCCATTGCTCACAGTGTCTCCCATATTTGCCAAGGGTCATCTTCACAATTCTAAACCTCAGCCCAAAGGGTGGAGCAAAAACACTCTGAGGGCTACCTGGGATCCCACACCTCTGCCCTGGGGGGCCTTTTTACACACATCGCATAGTGCTTAAACCACTTGCTCAGCTAAACAAAGGGAATCAAGCTGCCACCTCTGCTCGGCCC